GGGGGGGGGGAGGTTGAGGTCGAGTGAATTCTTTGGATACGCACGCGACCCAGTAGTAGAGACGAGAACGCACCTCTGAAGCCCAACAGATTCAGGTTGGGCCCATGAAGAAGCAGGATGCTCTTGGCTCCTTTCAGTTGCGTCGACATGATCGATCTCTTTCCGAACAATTTCGCTCCTTTAGCAGAGTGTCATGCGCTGTGCTTCAGGGATGTGTGATCAAATTTGATGCAAGTCGTGACGGTCTTGATCTTTGGGGTGATGGTGTTCGATTGTCAGACGGTGGAGATGTGGTCGATCTGCATTCACATTCGATATTTGAATCAGCGCTCCATCCTACCATTCAAGATTCCATATCCTGTATATACATGCAGCAGCATATGCTTACCCCGCGTTCCTTCATCAGACGGAACGCGGCGCGCTCCTCTCATCTCACAGCTGACGCTGATAAACTGCTTGACTGCAGATGCATGTCATTTGATCGAAGTCGTGAAATAAATCACAACAATGACATTACCCACCGCTGCCGGCACGGTCTGCCATGATGTCTGCGTGGAATCACGATTCACGATCGCAGCTCTGAGAGACGTCGCAGGGAAGAACGTTCAGCCCATCTTGTACGTACTCACGACTGCGCTATCCGTGCGCCGTCGATACGCAAGACAGAATGCTCGAGAATGAGAATGTCATGTAGACACGTGATGTCTCCAACAGGCACGCATGCATGCAGCATCATGCAGGTGTTGCTCTTGATTTGCGCCTCAACCGAAATCGAAGATCGATTCAAGATTCTGGATTGAGAAGTCACGACTTGATTGAGCAGCGGTGATTAATCACTTGATTTGACTCACTCGCTCATCATTTCGCGTGCATTTCGCGCGCGCGTGTTTTTGATGATGCTGCGCGCGCTCTGCCAAAGTGAGACGCGCGCGGGCCTTGCGCAGTGGACACCGGTTTAAAGTCAAAGTGACGATCTTCCAGCCCATGGCAGCAGCGTGCGAGATGATTCAGCGCCGTGACCTCCAAGGAAGAGCGAGACGGATTTGCTGATGCGCAAGCTTCCCATCAATGCTGCTCATACCTACATCCATCATCGACGCAGAGCTTGACCCTGGGCACCACCAATATTGACCCCTGCTGATCCTCAACGCACAACATCACTGCGTACCCTCCCGATACTTCGAGCTTACGCTTCATCCCTAGATTGCGTATCTGTTGCAACCCTTGGCCATCATGCCTCCTCGTAAAGCATCCACCACAGCCGCTCCACCGCCAGTTGCGGCAATCAGCACTGCAAGGGGTGTCAAGCGAAGTGCAGCAGCCGCTTCGGTCGAGCCCGAGAGCAAAGTGACTGCCACTCGAGAGGTAAAAGCTAAGCGAGGAGCTTCCAAGAATGTACTCAAGAATGCATCTGCAACACCTGTAGTATCCGCAAACATCACGACGGATGTAGAGATGGTGCCAGTGGAGAAGGAGGAACAGGAAGCTGCTCGACCTGCCAGCAGAAAGGGAAGAGCGTCTTCCACTGCTCCAACTTCTCAAGCTCCTGTCAAACAACAAAGCAGGACTCGAGCGGCCTCTCAGCAGCCTGCTGGAACATCTAAAGCTGCCGCTTCACTCAAGTCGCTTCGCCAATTTGTGCCCGTCATCGGCATGAATGCGCTCCCTCAACCCATCGTCCAGACAGGCATCTCATCCTCTTCGCCCGTGCAGGTCTTTGTATTCGGTACAGGAGACATGGGACAGAATGGATTGGGAGAAGATGCGCTTGGAGAGATTGTCAGACCCAGACTGCACGTGGGATTCAACGAGATGAATGCGCAAAAGGAGATCGGATCGCTTGGCATTGAACAGATTGCCGCAGGTGGAATGCACACTCTGGCAGTGGACAATCTCGGAAGGGTGAGTAGGTCGTGTTCCGGAGAGGACTGTGCACAGATCCACATCAGCTCATGCGGCCTCTCGCCTGCGCAATATCTCACGCGCAGATTTTGACGTGGGGCATCAACGACAACGCAGCACTCGGACGATCTACGACTCGTCAGCCTGGTGTAGACGCGGAAGTGTACGAGACTCGGCCCATGCCTGTGGAAGGGTTGTCACCGGATGGCAAAGGCTTGCTACCTGGACCATTGCCTCTTGGAGGTACAGAGGGACAGGTGGAGACTTTCAGAGCTGTTCGCGTTGCTGCTGGAGACAGCGTCAGTGCCGCTTTGAATAGCAATGGCGAAGTCAGGGTATGGGGAAGCTTCAGGGTCAGTGATGCTGCAGCGCGAGTGGCGCACAACACTTGCGAGACTGACACTGCTTCCACACTGACTTTACAGTCCAACGATGGTCCTATGGGCTTCGATGGCAGAACTGGCACAGTCAAGATGCAATTTACGCCAGTCTCGTTGCCGGGTTTGGGCAAGAATTCATTCTGCGAGATTGTATGCGGCGCGGACCACGTGGTTGCGCTGACCAGCAAGGGGCACGTCTACACGTGGGGCAATGGTCAGCAGTACCAACTTGGACGAAGGATCATCGAGAGGTTCAAGATCAATGGATTGACGCCCGAGAAGCTTCACCTCAAGGACATCGTGCACGTCGGAGCTGGAGCTTATCACTCCTTTGCCATCGACAAGAACGGCAAAGTGCTAGCTTGGGGGCTCAACAGTCTGAACCAGCTGGGCATCGAATCGGAGTCTCAGACCGACTTTATTCCCATGCCTACCGTCGTTCCTACACTCTCGCCGGTCCAACTAGGAGGAGCCAAAGTGGTCTCTGTCACGGGAGGCGAGCATCATTCGCTCTTTCTGCTCTCTGATGGCAGAGTGTTTGGGACGGGACGATGCGACGGGTGCGAACTGGGCTTGGCAGATGATCATCCGGCCAAGTTGGAGGTTTTGCAAAGGCGAGAAGAGTGGAAGGCTAAACGAGAAGCGGATTTAGCTCAAGAGATGGTAGAGTGGCAAAAGAGGATGGAGGAGAAGCGACTTCGACAGGAAGCTGCTGGGGACGGAGGAGGGATGATGGGTATGGTGATGAGTCAGGGAGATATGCAACCTACGCTGGGTCCTCCTCCCGACGAGTACGTCCCGCGTCCCGTCCACATTCCTTTCCCACCCTCTCCCGTCGATGGCAAACCGACGAGGATCGTGAAAATTGTTGCTGGACCCAGATTCAACATTGCCATCGCGGCAGATGGAACGCCTTACTCTTGGGGATTTGGAAATCAGGCACAGTTGGGACAGGGAGATGAAGAGGTCGTCGTCACGCCCACGCCCATCAGATCCAAACAGTTTGCTGGGTACAAGGCGGTCGACGCCACGGCTGGCGGACAACACTGCGCTCTGCTTGCTGTCAAGGCTGCTTGAGTCGAGCGCACCACGCGACACTGAGCACGCCTGAAGAGCCGCTCCAAAGCTGGCTTCTTATTGCATAATAGATTCTCTTTATCCCCAAAGAAGTCTCTTGTAATCTCACCCTACACTCGTTGGTAATGAGCGGGAAGGTTTTCTGGTGCTGTTGTGTACGCTGTGGTTTGAAGTGACGCTGGGGCGCATGTCATCTGAGCGATGCGAGAGAGTCAGAAAGTCAAAGCATCACCCATCAAAGGGCGAAGGGTGCGGCACGTTTGGCTGACGGCGTGTGCAATCCTTGATCGTGAATTGAACAACACGTCAGGCGCCCCCGCACGTGATGCGATGTGCCGCGCGGGGCCGACGAAACGTGTGTGACTCACGACTCCACCCGCGTGGGTGCAAGTGAGCGCCGGCGTTGCCTGGGAAGCACATCAGCTGCCCTTTCGCCCTCCACCCCCCCCTTGCCATCTCCAGCTTCGCTCATCCATCTTGCCTGCTCGCTCACTCAAAAGACCGACTTTGGCGGGCACTGTCGTCCCAACATCACGCCATGCCGCCGATCGGCCATCCTTTACGAGCTCGCGCAATCGGGCTCTACAAGACGCTCCACCGACTAGGTCGAGACTATCCCGATCCAAAGTACGATTTCCTGGGCAAACTTCGAAGGACGAGCTTTGCAAACGCTCACTTGACGGATGAGAAGGAGGTGCAAAAGTTTTTGGACATTGGAGAGTTTGTGAGAAAGGAGACGGAGACGCTTTATTTTTTGAAGAAATATAGGACGTTGAGGAGTAGGTACGTCAAGGAGGATTAGGGGAGACTTGTTGGGCGCGTAGCGACCCAAAGGATTGGAGCACACGATGAGTGAACGAGGTGAGGGGAGAGCGAGAGGAAGAGGCAGGGGCAGGGGTAGGGGTAGGGCAAGAGGAGGACACGGGACAGCGGCATCTCCACCTGCTGCTTCGTCAACCACACAAGCAGACTTGACACCCACCACCTCTCAGCGTGTGCGCAAGCAGGCAGCGCTGCCACTCGGATCTGTCTCTTGGGAGTCCGTATCACTGCAGCGGAGCGCAAATCGTGACGGCGCGCGGGCTCGCGCATCCGCCGATGATGCAGAGGAGGAAATGGACGTGGACGAAGGGCAAGGCGGCGGAGGGGAAGGGGAAAGGGAAGGGGAGGAGGAGGAGGATGAATATGGTTGGCTGAATGACAGGTGAGCGCTGGTGCATGTAGACTCGCAAAGTGCACCGAGTTCGAAGCTCAATTATCGCGCGTGTCTGTGTGACACTACACCATAGCGGCGAGAGTCTACGATCTGACTCTGCCGACGAGTATCGAGAGTCGCCTGAACCGCATCGCAAAGGCCGGCCTTCCACGAGCCAAGCACCAACAGGAGCTGCATCGCGCACAGATCCTCCATCGGACGTCTACGCTGGCTTTCCTGATCTGGAGCAACTGAATCTGACCGGTATGCCGCCAATCGGCACAACGCGAAGAAAGAAAAGAGATGCGAGGAAACGTGTGCAGCCTTCTAAGCATCTCATGGAGAGGCCGGCTGATTGGGCCAAAGCGAGTCAGAAGAAACGCGAGCTGGACCGCCTTCAAACTGAGCAGGAACCAGATCAGGAAGGTGAAGTCGACGCGGAAGATTTCGGGTGAGCAAATGCGACCAGATGATGTGTGTGGAGTGCGCGCGCAATGGTTGCGAAGCTGAGCAGCGTGTATTTGCTTGTATCCAGTCGTTTGATCAACGGAATAGCAAGTGACGCAGTCGATCCTGCATCGCGTGGTCCTGCATGGCGAGCTGCGCTGGGTGCTGTCGAGCGAAATGAGGACCTTCAGGATGGCGAGGAATTCAACGCATTCACCATCGAGGATGATCTGCGCGCTGCTGCTGGGTTCCGTCGTTTGCGAGCGCCCGTGAGTGGTTGCTAAGAAGCGATAGCTTTGAGTCATCTCGGTGCAGGCTGACTGCGAACCACCCTTGCTGCAGGGTCAGGTAGCTAGGACTCGTAGACGTGGTTTGGGCGAAGAGAATTTCTCCGACGAGGTCAAGCATTTGCTGATGAAGGCCAACGAAGCGTACATCGACGCTCGCTTCCCCGAGGCTATCGAGGCGTTGAGCAACGTCATCCGTATCGAGCCGACGGTCCGCTCAGCATGGGGAACGCTTGCACTGATCCATCTGGACGACTTGCGCAACATCGAACAGGGTCTACAATGTAGGGTCATCGAGGCTCACTTGACCAAGTATTCGCTGGAATCGTGGAGAGAGATCGCAGAGGCTAGTGAAAAAGCGCATCTGCACGATCAGGCGGAATACTGCCTTGGTCAAGCTGTACGTAACTCTCGAGTGAAGGACAAGTCGGACGTCATGGACCTCATGTGGCAACGCGCCAACAAGCTCAGCGACATGAGCGGCGTGCTCGATAATAACACAGCCGATGCGGATTGCGATGTAATGCGGTGCAAGCAGGCCGTGCAGGCCTTTTTTCAAATCCTACATCATCGTCCTCACAATCCCGACATCATTCAAGCCGTTGTGCCGCTGCTCTGCGCACTGAACCGGTACGATCGGGCTGCCAAGCTTCTTGTGGAAGCAAGGGAATACAACCTGGCAGTGTTTCCGGATCCGACGGAAGAGCCAGACGCCGCGCAGGGAGAGGCCTATCAGCTTCGCCCTACTTTCGGGAGCAACGAGATTGTATCTCTCGCCGACATCTACCTCCGCCTAGGGCGCCCGGTAGATGCGCTAGACACGATTCGCGGCGGAGCTCGATGGTTGCAAGGTCGCGCAGAAGAAGAGTGGTGGGACGACTTTGACTCGGATGATCGGGAGTTTGACCTGAAGAGAGAGGAGGGAGGACCCAAAGGCATTGCGAGACCCGATCCGACCCGTCGCGTCATGGCGGCACCGGTTCATCAGCTGGATCCAGCGATGCGCGTTCGCCTTGGCCTGATTAGGGCAGCTCTCAAAGACACGGAAGAGGCAATGTTCCATTTCAGCATCTGGAAAGCGGAAGTTTCGATGAAGGACAAGCTGCAATGGGAAATGTTTAGACAGGTTGGCAGGGCATTGGTACAGAACGAGTTGTGGGCAGAAAGCGAAGAGTGGGTCGAAGCCATGCTCTTATCCCAGATTGAAGAGGTGCGCGAGGAACGGACAGCACTCGCCTGCTACGCTCTGCTGACCATCGCGCGAGACCCCTTTCTTCAATCTGCAGCTCTGCACGTATGACGTAGCGCAGCTCTACGCTCAGAGTCTGCAACACAATGGCAGGCTGGAGGATGCTATTTCCCAATATATCCAACGTGAGTATGCTTGCATGCTTCGCTGTTTCACACAGGTCTCTCATTTCATCCTGCTTGCCTCATTTGCAGTCATTGAACAGTGCCCGGATGACTTGCAAGTGCGCATTTGGCTTGCTCAGACTTACGAGGCGAATCACGAACGAGACAAGGCGATCGAGGCGCTGCGCGAACGTGAGTATTGTGTGCGCACTGTCTATTACCGATGCTCGTGTTGAACCTGCTTCTTCATCCACGGTATTCCTGCACCTCAGTTGTCCGTCTTCGTCAGGAGCTTCCAAGCACGGACATGGATGACGCATCTGCCCTCGCAGCTTCTGCCACATTCTTTCGTGAACACAAAAGCAGGGGTCGTGGAACGGTTCATCCTCACTCTGCACACTCGAGGCGGGTCACGGCTTCAAAGGAAGAGAGAGCAAGGCTTTATGAGGCTCGCCAGTACGAGATTCGAATCAGCTGGGCCGACATGGAGAAGAAAGAAGATCAAGTGTTTGTAGAAGGATGGTGGAGCCACGATATGCCTTTCGAGTCGTCGCAGAAGCTACCTTTGCTGCTGGGCGAAACCGCAGAAGAGCGGGAGGCTCATCTTGTAGCGTGCTCCGAATGGCTCGACCTGGCCCGAGGCCTGACCGATGGCTTTTGTGCCGTTCGAAAGCTCTTCATCAGGGACAAGGGGTTCAAATCTGAACAGCAAAGCGACCGTCGAAGAGATCTCCGATCAAACTTGGACAGGCAAGCCAATTCGCTGATCTCGCGCATCAGAGACAGCCTTGTCGAGGATGGCCATCCCGTTGACCCTGATGCAATGGAATTCTGCGGAGTACACTTTGACGATTGGCTACTTCTCTTCATGAAGGTAAGTGAGCGAGCGCACTTCAACTTTACGCCCAAGTCTAATCTCATCTCTCTGATCCGTACGCTCTTCGCGCCACAGTATGCTTTCGTCTTGACAAAGATGGGCAACGTCCAAGAAGCGTACGAGATACTGTCCCATATTGCTACGGTCAACGTCTTTTGGAATTCTCAGGATTATAGTCTAGTCATCAACTTGACTCATGTCGGTGCGTGCTCTCCGCAAGCGACACGTATTGCAGACGATTGACCCGACGTTGACCTTGTCTGGACTTGTGTTCACGACATGCAGCTTGCGCGCTCTACGCTCGAGACGCCTATACGATGTTGGAGACTGCTCGTCAGCTTGCCGTCACCTGGCAGTTCCACGCTGAGCCTCTCCGAATCGTAACCACTCTGGCCAATACGTTGGGCTTTTATGCGATCGACTCTTACACGGCGCCGCACGCGCAGAAGAGCCTTTTGCGAAGGAATCGTATTCACGAAGCCATGGTAGCGCGCGAGCCGCACCATTTTAGGAACGATCGTTGGGTGGTCTTGTCGAGCCTCAGCAGACCGTCTGGTCGGCGTGGCGCAGAGTGGGATCGCCAAAGCGATGACGAAGCGGAGGAAGAGGAAGCGGAGAGTGCCGAGGCAAATGACGCTCTGAAGAGTGCCGAGGAAGCGCTTCTGGCTGCTGATCAAGCCTTTGAGGAGAAAAGCAGAGCTTTCCGGGCAAGGTATCGTCGCCCGACGCAGTTCAACGCGCCCGGCGAGATTACCTATGGGTCCCTCATGCTTGGCACACTCAGTTGGCAGGCGTCACTAGGTGAGTCTATTTCTGCTTCCTTTCGGTATGCTTGACGCTGCTGAAGTTTCATGTGCAGCGTACTGGCTGCGAGTTTTTGCAAAGCATCAGCACGATCCTCTTGTCTCTCTAGGCGCTGCAGCAGCCTGCCTACAAAGAGCTATGCAGCGGCAGGTTGATAATCGACAACACTTTGTGCTTCAGGTGAGCAAATTTCAGCGTCTGACGCAGGAGCTTGGAGCTCACACATCTTTTCTGAATCAGGCGATCACTCTGCTCGCATCTTATCGCAAACTGCGTCACCCAAAGAGTGTCGAGGTGGAATTCAACTTTGGACGCGCCATGCATCACATTGGACTGAACCACAAAGCAGAGGTACACTACAGACGCGCGCTGGAGCTGCACGATGAGTGGGAAGCACGGGCCAGAGAGGGCGGCAGCGCAACGCCCGACGACCCGGACCCACGCGAGCGAGGATTCGACTGCTATAGAGAAGCAGCTCACAACCTATCCATGCTCTACACTCTGTCTGGAAATCCGCACTTGGCCCGCGAGATTTACGAGCGTTACCTGACCCTACACTGATCTCTTGGCATAATCTACCATTTTCATCCTTGAACTTTGTTCTAGAACAACTTGAGGGTGGTGGGTACTTCGGAGTGGCCTGGAGGCCTGCGCATCTGAACGTGCACGACGTGCTCAGGGAAATGCTGAAGCTGTTGGCTGTGAGTAGACGGACGAGAGGAGTGCTCGTGGCTCGTCGGTGAGTGGGGCTCGGTCGGGTGGCTGCCTTCGAAGAGATGCAGCTCCTTCGGAGTGTTACGGCCCGTGAACACGGCGTGGGGGTACCACATGCGAGTGCCGTCCGCATTCCACTTGAAAAGGTACGGCTTGATAGATCCATCAGGATGGTGGCCCAACCCGACGACGTGCTTCTGCTCCTCCGAAACTTGCGTCACTTTGAAGGCGTTCAAACCAGCGTCGTGGGCAAAAGCGGACGAGTGCGCCGCTACCGCAGTCTGTGTTTCTTTTGGCAAGAGGCCAAGGTGTTCAGACGCGATGACCGGCGGCAACCTTGGCAGTGCTCTGCCTTCAAGCTGGGCACACGTTCGAGGTGTGTCAGCGTCGTACGAATGGTCTCTTTGGAGAAACTTGACGACTTACAGCAAAAGAGTCCTTCATCACGGGTGCGGCCGATACGATCCCGGCAGCAGCGATCGCTCCCAGGAGCAAAAAGTTTGGAGGAGCTATCTGCATATCGCTTGTTTGAGTTGCTGCGTACGTGAAGGTTGAGTCCAGCAAGCGAACAGATCGTGCGAGTTTCAAAATGGCTGGACGAAGTTGAAGATCCTGCGCGAGGCAATGGTGCGCAAGGCAGTGAAGATGGAAGAAACAAAATGTCGAGCGAAAGAAGTGGAAAGCGAAGGCTGTCCAAGAGACTCCGCCAACAAATCGTTTACCTTGCGGCGGCAAGGACTCATAGGACTCGTGAGGTGGAAAGGTGGGTATCATCGAGTCTCTGTTCTTGTTTAAGGCTTTCTGGAACTCGAAGCATCTGGCTAAGCGCCACCATTGTGGCGATGCCGCTCTTCGCCTGCAGCGTTTCGATGAGGACTTTCCATAGCAGCTCAGCCACGGTCCACTCGGCGAGAGGTTGGCCACCGTAGGCTGTACGCAATCGGCGCAACTTGCGCCGAGGTGTTGACTCTGCGAGGAATTTCACCTTGCCGCGCCTTCGCTGGCTGGCCGTCGGTTGCTCAATGGTACACTACCCTTATCTCGCGGCGTTGCTTGGAATCGGCGGACCGGTCGGGCTAGAGCGGGAATGACAAGCAATTTCAAAATTTGCCACCACCGCTCTCGTCCTCGTCACTGCTCCTTTGCCGTTCTAAGACCATGTAAACTTGCAGCTCATACCTGGCTCACATTGTCTTCTAGCTTTGGCAGCTCTTTCATGCGCTCTTCTGTCATGGTCACAATGCTCTTGGAGCGCAACATGAGACGGGGAGTTTGTCCATACGGTTGCTCCACCAACAAGTTAGTCCACTCCAGCAATTTAGCGCAGACGTCTTCGGTGTGTTCCTGAAGCGCGGTGATGCAGTTGCCTAGCGTAAGATAGCAGTGTCTCTTGCTACAAGTTTTGGGAGCAAAGAGAAGGGGGCTTTCGAAGCCAAGGTTGGTGCGATGACGGGGCAGTTGGGCCTGCTGAGCGCCTAGAAAAGCTCGTTGCTACCTCAAGCTCTCCTTGATGCTTTTGTGAGCAAATGACAACCTAGGCTGGAGAGACCTCGAACTCATGGGGGCTTCGTCAAATGAGTGTGGAGGCTTTGCGGATGGGTGTACTTGAGAGTGTGTGATTTCGTATGTAAGCGTGCATGAACTTTGGCTCTGTGTTGAAACAGAAGGCTGAGGTGTGTCGTGTGGTGATTTGCAAAAGGTTTGTGCCACAAGAAAAGCAGACGGAGGAGAGAGTAAGGTAGGGTGTGTGTGGAAGGGGGGAAAAGGGGGGAAGACAATGGAGAGATCGTAAGACAGGATTCAAGCTGAAAGTATCGAGGCTTTCCAAGTCATCAGAGCAAGGGGTGATCTCAAATTTGGATCGGCCATGCTTCCTGCATAGCCAGGCCCACGGACGTGTCCGGCCAACAGTCGCGATTTAGCTGCCATGCAGTGATTTTCCACCTCCTTCAAGGCCATCTGAGTTGTGCATGGGGCCATTCAACAATTTGCTGCTGATGCCGCGAGAAAGCGAAACAGCTCTACGCTTCCAGCAGTGCTCAACTGTCAGCAATGGGTAGTCGGCAAAGCCTTCAAAATGGGCTGCTGAATGGAGCTGGCTGGAGGGGTCATTGATGAAAGCGAGCACGAAATGTTGATTGCTAGTATGGTGTTGAGCGTCAAACTCAGACTCTGAGGAATAAGTATTCACCCAGCAATGATGAGTCACGCAAGCCTTCATAGCACGCCGAGATGCGCCTTCCAAGACATTTATTCGACTCGAATCTGTAAAATCAGACTGCGCTCCAGCATGGTCACCTCATCGATTCACGTAACTCCCAAGGAGCTCTCGCAACACAAAGAGAGGGCCAGTCGGAAAGAGATTGGCTTGGCGGATTTGGACAGGCAAGCCATGGGAGACACTCGGCCAGCACCCAAGCATCATGCGGCGGACCAGTCACGAACGACAAATGACCATGTCGCACACAGTAATGGAGGCAAGACGGTGCTAAATGAAGGAGACGAGATCGCGCGAGGCTTGATGTCTTCTGGCGCCATATCATGCGACAGTGACGAGTGATGTTGTTGCTGGACATCAACGTAGAAGCTGTTCAGGCACATCGAAACGTTCGGTCAGCGCAGATCCTTGCTCCACCATTTCTGCACAGCAGGTCATGAACTCACCAAGTTGGACATCCCGGGAATTCAATTTGCACCGCACTACTACTGCGTCCCAGGCGTGCTGCAAGGACTGTGACAATATGAGCTATGTGTAAGTTTGGAGCCCCTTCAGGACCGTCAATCCATACGGACCACGAGCGCTTTCCTGACTCACGTGTCCTCCGCCTGTTCAGCAGCAGCGCGGCGAGCGCTGGTAGGAGCCAGAGCTATAGGCTTGTAGCGCTGAGGCATGGCCAGGTGTTGTCCGGTAGGCATGTTACGAGGAGGCGGTCTTCTTATGGCCAAGATGCTTGCGTCTTGCTCCTCCTATGGCCAAGATGCTTGCGTCTTGCTCCTCCTGCCGAACTTGGCGTTCCTGGTTCATGGCCTCGCGCAATTCTGATGAGAGTTGCTGCCACAAAGATTCCGCTGGACTGGATGATCGGGTCCAAGCTGGCTGCTTGCGTCCTTCCAATCGAGCCGAGGTCATCATGGCCGAGGTACTTGCAGCGCGCTCCTCCTCACGAGGCTGCTGTTCCTCAAGGAAGCTTTCACGAGGTTGCGAGATTCGGTCCCTCAGAGATTCTACCGAAGCACACAAATTTACAGTTTGGTCCCAAGTAGCTAGTGTTGGCTTTCCAATTGGGAAGACCTTGCTCCCTCAAAGAGGACAGATATTACGTGTCAGTTTGGAGCACCTTCAGGACCATCTTTCCATACAGACCACAAGTGCTTTCCTGATTCACAAGTTCCAGTCTGTTCAGCTGCATTGCAGCAAGTGTGGGTAGGCACCAGAGATATAGGCTTGTGGCGCTGAGGCACAGCCAGGGCTTGTCCAGTAGGCAGATTTCAAGGAGTCAGGCTTGTGAGATGCAACCATTGGGCCAAGTTGTGATATCTTTGAAGCAGACAGACCGTCAGAAGGTTGAAGCAACCATTCGGCCTAGGCATGCGCAATGCGCAACATTGATGTATACTCTGGAAAGGTACCATCATTTTACGCATCTACTTTGTGCGATGACGTGAGGTGTATTCAACTTCAAACGTCTCGCTTGTGCGGGGCCGCTGTGTAGGGCGGACACAGGGAATGGGGGAGAGAGAGAACGACACAAACGTTCACCGAGCAGAGCCGAAGAAGGCGAACGTGAAGACTCATAAGAAGGTTTGGGAGACTGAACTGATGGGACCTTGGAAGGTCCATCTGGAGCAAGTCCAAGCGCATGCGCCAGCTCCAAATGATCGGGATGCTGGGTGCTGTACTAGACGCAAACGCGCAACCACACCACAGACGACCAGAAGTCAGTGGTTGTAGCTAGTTAAATCGACGACTAGTCTGATACTCCAACTCACGTGCTCGACAGCTAGCCTTGGCTTGGCTCGTCGACCTTCTTTCAATCTACTGGTTGTCCTTCGGGGCTTCGCGAAAACCGAGCAAAGCGATCAATGATCTGATCGGCGTTTCAATGTGGCGCAGCGGCACTTACTGCCCTCAGAGTCTTCATCCGTCTTGCCCTTCTCCTTTTCGATAGCCATAGTGACACGCAGATCAATGCGGTCAAAGACTGGGATAGGGATAGAAGAAGCAACGCAGACCTTAGTTTGGAATTGTTCACAGACCTTGAGCTGCTCGCTCTGCCTTCTCACCTACGGTGGGAGCAAGACCAAGCTTGAATCATGCTCTCTGCTTCTTCGTGCCATTTCCAAAAGTACAGGAATGCATCGTCTGTGGAGATTGCGATCATAAGTGCCAAGGATGCAGCTCTCAGGTGGCTGCAAAACTCACCGTCTTGCGTAAGCTTTGCAAGTCGGTTGGTGGCAAACATGAGACTTGCATCGAAGTTCCCTCATGGTTTGCTTGGCATTGTGGGGCTCTCTGCTGTTGCGAGCATCCATCTGCTGTTTGAATTTGCTAGCAAGATTGCGAACCCAAGTGCAAAGCTTGTCCAGAAGGCTCAAGTACAGGAATGCACCGTCTGTGGAGATTGCAATTGTTAGTGCCAAGGATGCAGCTCTCAGGTGGCTGCAAAACTCACCGTCCTGCGTAAGCCTGGCAAGTCGGTCGGTGGCAAACATGAGAGCCCAATCGAGCTCCCCGCAATCGCATCGAAGCTCCCTCATGGCTTGCTCGGCATTTTCGGCGTCTCCGCTGTCGCGAGCATGGATCTGCTGCTTGTATTTGCTGGCAAGATTGCAAGCCCAAGTGCGAAGCTCGTCCAGAAGGCTCACGACGCTCGGGAGGCCGTGATAATTGGTGTCCGCAGCTTGTAGGATTTCGTTGACGTTGTCAACAGAGAGTTTGTTGGCCACCAAGAGATTGCGCAGGACAGCGGCTAGTGCGCCATGTCAATTGCTCTTGTGAGCAACGTGCTACTGCTGGTACTTGCTAGCAAGATCACCGGCCCAAGCACGAACGTTGGGAGGCCTTCCTGCCAAGCCAATTGCTTCCTACCTTTCTCTTCCCATGCCTTTTCAATCACGCTTGTCAAGATGGCAAGTGAGCAAGGCAGGAATTCCAGCAAGTCTGTCTGCCTCCAACACCCTACTGCAACTAGCCAGCTTCAGCACAGCACTGCTGCTACAATGAAGCAGAAGTGCGGCTATGTCCCAGTGGCAGAGCGTTGTGGAACCATCGACAAGCAACTCAAGCCTTCGCGATTACGCTCAGCCTTCCCGCAAAGCCAATCGTATCACACCTTCTTCCTTTAAAGCCTTCTTC